GCGGAAAGACTCGCCTGGTTTTAGCAACGGTTTGGCGTAAACTCTCACAAGAAGTTTAAATCTTTGTCCATCGGTACGATTCTGATAAATAGATGGAACGCTGCAAATGTTTCCTTACGGGACCACCCTATACCCGGCGACTCTTGGGATGCCTCTCTTGCCGAAGCCTTGGTGCACCAGAACTTACGAACGAAGCTCGACGCTCTATTTTCTATCAACCTGCCGTCCTCGTAGCCAATTCCACATGTCCCTCGCGGCGAGCTTCCCGTTGGAACACCTCATCTTCGTTCGCGAATATGGAGCCGGGCTCCCAGTCGGAATTGAGGCAACAATAGCAGCGCACACAGTCAGCATGCTGTTCGATGCCTGCATCGATGATAATGTGGAGACCTCGTATTCTAAATCATGATTTCCTCGCACGCTTCTGGGGCATGTTTTACATGTCTCTCACTGGCGTCCAGTAAGCACGTGCGCACCAGAGCGTGTCAAAGGCAGGTTGAGGTTACTGACGTGTGTTCACCCTCTGTCTGTCTTAACTGGCCAACTACTTTCCAAGGCCAGCTCACAAAGGATCTTATTGTGTTGACTGCTTACACTCAGATACTCCTGAAGCCGGCGACCTCACGGCCGGTTGCAGACATCTGAACCCGGCGACTTCACCGCCGGAATACGACTCTGGACTCGCATGGCTGGACTGCACTCATCTGGGAGTCAAGCACCCATTACTCATATCCTATTCCTTCTGCACTTAATTAAATTAACCATAACGCTCTGGCCTTCAATGCCTTATTTTATTTACTGGTTTATAACCGTTCGGATACGTCCTATTTTCTATTATGCGGCCAGACAACTTCTGACGTATCCTACAATAACGTCTGATCTGGTCACCGAAATTTTATCCGACGGCGGCAGCGCAGCATTCCAATCGGACTCGAATCAGTTGTAGCACTCCCTCTCGACAGCCTGCTGAACACTTTTGCGATTCCAGTAGACCAGCTATTTCCCGAACTCAGTGCAGCACCCACTTCGGATGTAACGCTTTTAGTATCAGTGCCCGGCCCCGTATCTGTAAACCAAAACTACCATTAACACGCTGGGCAAGCTGTGTTAGCCGAACAACGCAGCCCATACAGGTCAACCTACGCCACAAGCGATACTGACTTATTTGAAAGGGAGGTGTTGAGAATGCTTCCATTTCCACGATGAGTCATAATACAAAAAGAGCACTGAGCGCAAATGCCACGGCGCTGCCATGAGAGCACGAACCGAGGGTAAAGATTTCCCGTCATACCTGATTGGTCCATTTTCGTCGACGCATTCTCACCAAGCGGACCGAATAAATACACGCAGCCTTTTTTGTGACGTGCTTTGTGCGAATACACTTCTCCTCGTGGTCGATTGCTTTCTCTTCCTCTCTCGTCCTGGCTTTCGGTAAAACAGTCGGGCGAGCTCACAGTTCCCGCTAATTATCAGTACAAGGCGCGAGACATAACACTATTCCACCGCCAGGAACTTAAGGAACATCCAAACAATATGCAGAATTTTCACGAATAGAGACGATGGGTCTAAGCTGTATATACTCATTGTGTACTTTTAGCAAACAGTAAAACCGCACCGTGGCTGTGTCAGTTGGTTTCATAAAAGAAAAAATAAATCATCATTGTATCATTTGCTCAGTTTTTTTCCAGAATTTTGTTTAGTTGGGTTATCAGAGTTTTAATCCCACTGGTTGGATAATTGAGAAGGCTTTGAGTTTTCTTTGTGTAATGAGATTTGTTAAGTTCCCCCATAGAACAACTTTTGTCAGCAGGCTACGGATTGCCTTTATCCGCTTTTAAATTTTATAAAGCTCCCTGTTCTTCTATGTTAAGGGTTTCACACCTTTTATTCGCATGAGTAGCGATAAAATGTTTTAGCGTATTAACTATTTCGTCACTCCCAACGCCATTTTTAATCGAAGAACTGCTTCAAAGGCAGCTATGAACGCAGTGGTTGCACTGTATGCTAGGGCTCCAAATAGTTTGCTAGTGACGGGTTTAGATGAGGGGTTGTGGAGGGGGCCATCTGACGAGTCGTTTAAGCTGGACGGTCTCAGTTCGGCCAATTCTTTGATAATTCCTTGTCCTATTACAAGTAGGGTTAGAGCGTTCGCCTCTGGCCGGAGAGACGCGAGTTCGAAACTCGAGTGTGACGGCAATTTCTGTTGCTACACTGGAGTTGGGGTATCATCGCCTGACGACGGCAAACAAGCCAGAAGACGCTTTCGTGATGTCCCTTGTCTTTGTCGGTAAAAACCTTCCTTGTCCTTTTCGATGTGTAACTTTCGCACATGCGTGAGAATGATCTTCTCATTATTGCTCGATATTTCACCAGCGATTATCACTAAATATGATTTGGCCTGGTTGATTTATATGTAGTAAAATTGCAGCCTTTGGTGGCAAACTTGAATTAGTGCTTTAGTCATTTGTCTGCCATGTCGCGCCAAAGACCCTCTTATTTAAGCAGAATTCACAGGCGTTTTGTAGGTTACACACCTTGGTGACAATTTTTGGTCAAGGCAGCGCGGAAGAAAGATAAGATTCGCTTGGGTTTACGCAAACCAGTCTGCTGGTAAATATTTCCAGTATTCTCAAGCAACAGTAGAACGAGGAATCCGTCTCAGGCTCCAATAACCCTCTGATGCAAGGCGTTCTACCGGACGTCCGTAGGGGCCAACCCCGTCTGTACATTAGAAGGATGACCACGCGAGGTGACCCCCAGCCAGTTCGAAGAAGTCATCGAAATCTAGGGCACACCCACAACCTCTAACAATCCGTCACACGTGAATGACGTCATCGCGCAAATGTCTGCGATGTAGAGGAGACTAATTATATCCTACCACCCTGATTTCCTAAGCCAGATGACCAAGATTACTCTTCAGATTCGTAGAGCCCGCCTCACACCGTTCCACAAGGTGATAATCCTTTTTGAATCACGGACGCCCGAATCTGAAGGACTACTTGGTATATTTTACCGAACAGTTACTTGCTAAATGGTACAATCTCTTCGGTACCATTAGCACGTGTGTCGCGGATTTAGCTGACTTTAAACAGTTTGACGTTAGTATAAACAAGGTTGCTAGAACACTGCTTCGTAATATTTGAGCGACGCCTCCCATAAAGAAGGCATCAGAATCAACTTCCTTGGTGGTCCTTCCGGTATGGAGACTTACTACAGCATATTTCCTAACATTTACATTTAGAAGCCAACGAGCAGACCTGCTGTTAATTCAGTTACAAATTACTGGACTTCCGTACCTATCTACGTCAAACATAATGAATTTTCGTCTGAAACAATACGGTTTTCCTGCCCATGTTGCCGGCATAGTCGTCAATACAGACCAGAATAGTAACGGCCTGATGACTGAGCCCAGGGGACAGTTACTTAGGATAGATCGGCAAATCCCGTTCTTATGTAACTTATTATATCTGGAACAGGGGCGGTAGGGCATAAGCGTGCCTCACAGACACCCGGACGGACGTTAATGCGCATATTCATGCAGTCATCCACTATACAGATATTTTCACAGACGCCAAGTTAGCCAGCGGCGCGATCGAACCATGTTCCTCCCCCTTAAGTAAGGTTGCCAGCGCCTGACAACGTTTAATATGCCGGAAATGGCTAGTTGTCTTTGCCAGGAATATTTATGGATTGCCAATAACTCTGAGACCAAGTGCAACGACTATCTTCAGTCTTTAATAAGGATTACGGCAGTTTGGGCGTGTGCGTAGCTAGTAAGAGTGCGACTTGGTCTAAAAACAGGATTTATTCGATGTACAATTAAAAATTTATAAAGCAACCGTATTTAAAAGGGCTTCCGCCTTTGACTCTAGCGTACATCGAGAGTGAAGCGGTACTCCTGATCACAACCCATGTAGGCATCAGACATGAAGAACAGGGTGAATTCGTGGCGTCCCGCCTGGGAGGGTGCCACGAGGTCCAGGCGAATTTTAGTGGACTTGGAGACAGCCAGGCGTTTGATGGCTAGCAGACTGTTACTCTTCAGTTCGCCAATCACCACCCACCAGCCCTCCTCCCGTTTCTGGAATAAAAGAGAAAATAATATAGTTTCAAAATGAAAACGGGAAGGATTATGGGATGGAAAGTGTAGTAAGAAAAAAAGGCGCCGAATTTAATTCGGAAGCGATACCTAGTCGAAGCAACATCGAACAACTTACAACCTCCAAACAAATCATTTGCTAGTGTCCTCTTTCGATTTGGAGTCCAGAACAAGACCCGACTTGCATGCTTAGAGCACCGACCGCGTTGGGTAGTCACAAGTTTAGGCAGATGCAAATTGCCGGCAAAGGCAAAGGAGATTAGAATGGCCAGTGAAATTACCGCTGAGCGCCTGCTGGCGGGCAATTTAGGCATCAATGAAGGGTGAGCCATCAGGCAAGTTAAGACGAAGATGAATAAAGTTGACTCAGCAGCGTGACTGATTTAGATGCCACGCATAGATCTGCTAACATGCTCAGAGCTGACTAGAAACCAGTCGAACTGACTGGCTATTAACTACCACAGTCGAAATCCCAGGTCTACATATAGTTACAACAACACTGGAAGCAAATGTTGATGAAGAATAATCGGTTTTGTTTCAGCGGAACTCAACACCCATTCCTTGCTATCGCATCGGGCATCAAGTACAAAGCGGCTAAAGGGCTAGTTAATTTAAAAGTCACTTAGCTTAGCCTAATGACCTAAAACAACGAAAGGATCGCAAAAACGAGGTATTCCAACCAGTTGTTGCAGCTACAAGTAGGTTTCACATTGCGCCGATAAGCATTTGATGTTGACGATTAAACGGGAACGACATAAATGTTAATGAAATGCCTGTTCACGTTAGTTCGTTTGCCGATTCCGACTATGTCCACTGTGTGCTCCACTGCATGGTGGCACAGGAAAAGTTACGCTGGTTGCATCTATTACACTCCCTGTCGTGTCAAGACAGAATCGAAAAGGCCGGATCGGATACAGGCAGTCGGGGCGGCCATGTCAGATAGCCGTCCGTGTTGTTTAGCTCAAAAGCCTGATTACAAAGCAGTGATGGCAAACAAACTGTTTAATGGCGGTTCGCAATCGTCATTAGGGGAGAAGGCGTTTGTATCGTTTTATTTAGCCCGTTTACTCATTTGACGCTAATTTCACATTTTTCGGAATTGTCACTTTTCTACAGAAAAAAATGCTTAGGCTTTAATCAATACTCCGGCCGAGAAGTTGTTACCTTTAATTGGGTGTTTCGAGCGAGGCATTTAGGATGGTTTATGATTAACTGGAGTTTTTGTGAACCTATATGCCCAAAGTTACAATACTGCCTGTGCAAACATCAAAAAATCCTGAATTCCTACGAAGCTATTATAGAAAAAAAGGTTTTACTAAGAATAAATGGATAATTATGTTTCCATTATGCAATGATTGACCCGCAGTCGGTTCAGAAGAGTGATGAGTTCCAATGGGAAAGTAGTAGGTCATAGTACACGAATAAGCTTGCTGTGATGGCCTGTCTCTATCAGTGCTGGAAAGTCTTTCTGTTTTACGACCTATTAAATGACCTCAGTCAATAGCTTGCAAGTTCGACATCCTTTTGTACACTACGTTGATGTCTAGTAAAAAAAAACGGGAAGACGATCAAAAAAAACTAACCTGCGGGAAGAAAGGAGCGATAACTGGCCCCACATTGGCCTCGTCACGTTCAATGCTGACATTTACAGTGACGTTTTCACCCCTAAAAATAGATAGAAACACACAGTGAGACATAGAAACGCAAGCGTTAAAAATGCATTGTTTGCTGAAAAGGTATATATATCAGGCAATCGAACTCACGCTTTGACTTGCGTCTTGGCAGTGACGGGACCGTTTGCCCCGCTGACATCGTAAGTGAGCTCCACGTCAGGATAGCGGTTGCAGAAGTGAATGACATCAGCCATCTGGGCCTGCGACAGATCGGCCAATAGGGCGGACTTGGCGGAGTCTTCGAGTTCAATGAGGTCGAAGGGGGACTCGAGGTTGGCCTCCTGGCACTTGGCGATGAGGTCAGCGCTGAAGTGCGGCACTTGGCGTAACGTAGAGTCCTTGTGCCAGATGGCCTGCGTCACCATCTGCGACAGTTCCATGGCTGCAAGAGCCGGACCCAACCAGCTGTTGCTGGACAGCACATCCACACAGGCCTGTACACAAAGACAAGGAAGTTTGCGTAACATACCACTAGTCGAAACACGAACAATTTTAGCAGTAAGCCTGTAGCGGCAACGGTTAATCACGGCTCCTCTTTTTTTATTGGCAATTACAGTAAAAGTACAAATTCACCAGTTCATAAACACAAAGACTGGTTTTGAGCATCTACTGAAGTCAACATCTGTGGCGCTGGTACTACGCACTGACGAAACGCATGGAGGCTGTTCGTTTACCCGAACGTTTAGGAGTTACACTTTCAAAGTGAACAAATGCAATATTAGTACGCCGAGGAAATTTACTAACGCCTTACATGTCGTTACTGCCAGTACACATTCAGGGCGACGCCTTCAAATCCACAGAAAAACCAAAAATGTGCGTACGAGGAAAGGGAAACACTACTGACAACAGTCCAACCCGAGAAACTGCGTGACCTCCAACACAAATGCAACAGCAAACTATACCGGCTCGCCTATTCCATGCACATTCAGGCTCTCCTGACAATGGACAGGAGGGATGGCGATTGCTTTGACAGCTGCAACTTACTTCGCTTCTTTGTCTATCACAAATCCACTGCTGGAGGTATCTCGTACCTTCGACGTCTAACTAGTCTTGGCTCCCTGCCAAACAGTAACATAAAGCAACAACAGTCCTACTGGTGGATGCTTCCTCATTTGTCTGTCATCAAAGGGTGCCACACATCTTCCAGATAATGAACAATATCCGGTGTGACGGTAGTTACTGTTAATTACGACGGGCGAACTTTATCATTACTGACCCTGACTACGCGGAGGTGAGTCTCCTTGCAGACGCCTGAAGTTATGCAGGTAAAACAGACCGATGGAACCGTTGGTTTATGCAGTCAACGCATTGCCGCTAACACTGCAAAGGTTTTACAAGGGCACACCCTATCAATCACGCATGAACAACAATAAGAAGAATGACCGGTAAACATATATTGACTAATTTAAGTAGTACAATTGTCTGAGTCACCTAAAAGCAAACCCAAAAATCAATATTTGTTAAACCGATTCTTTCGACGGGTATGGTGAATGAAAGTTTCAAGGTAGGAAGAGGTCAACAAAGCATAGAATTTAGACTTCAAATTTTTGGGATGCGTTGTTTCTCGCACTTTCGTAAAAAGTATGTATCTAAAAGACCGGAAGGCAGTTCTGCTATTCTAACTTTGGCTGAGGTTTTACAACGGCACAGTTCGGCTACAGCAGAAGACTACGCAAAACGAGGGCATAACTTGGCAAGACAGTCCACATTGACTGAAAGCGACAAAAAAGCACCCTCACTCAAATCGTAATAAAACGGAGAAAATTACTCCACGTTAAGTTAGAAGGGTTTTGACGTATAATTTATTGACATTTTAAAATACTTTCTAACATTCTACCATCTGTAAATTATGTAGCAAGGGTACATTTTCACACATTGATAACACAGCGTTTCGATTAATTTTTTACAGCGTTTAGATAGTCCAAACTAATGGGTCCAGACGACCATTGCCAAGTTTGCCACTGCAAATAGCGATTGTAAGTGCTGCCCGTCGGTCCAACGCTGGACAGCTGGGATTAAACATATTCATGGTTCATGATGGATTAACACTTCCATGAGTGCCTCTTTACAACAGTTTAACGAGCTCTTTGAGGTATTCTTTTGGTTGACAAAAAAATTCATCGGACACGGCGTTTAGCATATCAAAATGATGACCTGGCTGCCTACACCTGCCTTTCATGTAGATGGAGACGTGAGTTTAGGAGAGTATACGGCGGGGGATAGAAGTTGTCTGACTAACCTGAATAAGGCGAATAGTGCAGACGAGGAGGTGATCGGTGTCCGCTTGCAACTCTGTGGAGAGACTGATACGTGAGAGGTGGGCTTGCAACAACAGGTTAGCCTTCACGTTCGGACTGATAAAGTTGGCTTTTGCGGCCAACTTTTGAGGTACTTTGGCAGACAACTGGCGCAGAATATTGTCTTCATGGTGCCGCACCGGCAGCAGCATGTTAAATTCGGAGGCGTTGCTAATCACATCCAGGAGACCACGGATCTTCATTTTGTTTGTCAGCGAGAGACTAAATAATTCTGAAATTATGGAAAACACTTAAAAGTACTTGGGTGATTAGGCAATCGAAGATAAGAGAACTAGGATGACAAATTTTAAATTGCTTCTTCTCGTCACCCAAACAGCAAAATTTCAATCCTGAGTAGGGACGCAGTCAGCAGCACCGCAATGATTGGATCAGTT